TTAATTTAATAATCAATTAAGTTTATTTTTTTTTATAAAAAATTTTTGAATTTGAGTTTAAATATAATTATTTGTTGGGATTATCTTGAATGTATGATTTGTAATAATTTATCTTAAGCTATAAAGTATTGCATATTTTATTTTGATATGAAATATTAAACAATTTATATATTTTTAAATTTTTCTTTAAAAAAAATAATAAAAATATTAGTTTTTGTTGTTTAAGACAACTCGGGGAAAGAAAGGGAAGAGGTTGATTCTTGTAATCCATTCTTTCCAAAAAGTAAGGGTTAGTTAGGATCAGTCAAAAAGAGAAAGCAATTATAAGAAGTATCTATAACAATTTATGAAAAGAATTCCAGAAAAGCACTGTTTATTTTGGACACTTACATGAATGTCACATGTCCAAGTTAAGAAAGGGATTTTATGAATTTGTGGGAATATTTTTGGTAGATAAAAAAAATTTTTAAAAATTTTTAAAAAAAGGCAATGGGGAATATTCTAAGCATTATTTTAAAAATATTAATTAATTTTTTTTATAGGTGAAAATATAAAAAACTGAAATCTTGATTATTAAATTAATTCTAAATAATCACAAAGATATAAAATAAAAAAGAAAAAAAAGATCTTTATCATCTATAACTTATATATTTTAATAACAACTTATAATTGTTGTATTTTTTTGGTTGTTTAAATATTTTCATAAAAAAATTATAATTTACCATATATTTAAAAAATCATACTTTTAATCAAATAATTTATAATTTTAAAAATAAAAAATAATAACACTTGCAATGCAATAAAAAAACAACTAACAAATGTAATACACATATTTTGATATTTTTCAAATAATATGTTCTATTATCAACAAAAGTAATTCTAACATAATTAAATAATTAGTAAAATAAAGGAAATAAATAGAATTAAGAATGCAAATGAAATAAAGGATTGATAAATTGGGTAAAAAAGTTTGAATATTTTGAAGTGATAAAGAAAAACATAAAAATGATATAATTAGTTAATAATAGTTACCTTACTTTCAAATATTAATAGATAAAAATATATTAATCAACATAATAAAAACAAATTAAAAACATACTCCTTTTTTCCCAAATTAAAACTCCACATTATTTTTTCTTACTCTTTAGCATTTAAATTTATAATTTATTAATATTGTTAAAAATGAAGAAATAATGTTAAAATAATTAAATTCAAATTTTCTTAAAACTCAGTCTTGCTTTAGATATGAACATTAAATTTGAGATGAAACTGAATATCAATAATATATAATTAATATTAATTAATTGTATAATATTATAAATAAATTTAAAATTTATTTTCAATGGCTTCATAAGATAATAACAACATAATATAAACAATTTTAAAATTTATTTTTAGTGACTTCATGCGATAAATACAATCTAATATAAATAATACGATATGCTAATAATCAGTTTCATTTGTATCTAAAGCATAAACTTTTCCTAAAATGCTTTCGTTTTTTACGTGAAAAAATTATTAAATTTAATTAAATTGATCAATCAATTTAAGAATAATTTGTTTCATTATTACAAAATCACCTCGAAATTGGCTTAGTCCCAAAAAGTTGTTTACATTTTATTTTTTAAAAACAATTTAAAAATAATTAATTTGCAATTTATTTTTATAATCATTTTAAATAATGAAAAAGAATCGAATGCAAAATTATTACAAAAAATATTTTATGTGTTAAAAAATGCAAGTTGTATTTTATAATAGAACAAGTCATAAAAAATTTCTTCTTAATTTTTATGGTCATAAATGAGAGGTAATATAAATTATTGCAAATAAAACTTTGGAATTATCAAGTTGTTTTTTTTTAATTAATATAATATTTTCATTATTATTTTTAAAAAATCTATTTTGTATAATAATTACTTATTTATAATATTATATAATTAAAAAAAAAAAAAAAAACCAAAGTGAAAGCGACGCACCATTCTAGTATAACTGAAAAATCATTCTCCTATCTAAAAATTCAATTCGGATAAGGAGACTTACTTCTCTGAAGCTTAATTGTGGACTTCTAGTGGTCCTCTCAATGGCATAAAGAAGGTGGATTTCGTAGTGGAGCAGTACCATTTTGATCTTTGTAAGGAGACAAGTCATGTGAGCACACCATTGTTGCATGATTGTAACTGGTCTGCTTGGTGCTCACACATAAATGATAAACCACCATCTATATCAGACAAAAGGAGGCACTCATCTTAAAAAACCAAGACTATGGTTTGCCAAATCATTGAAAATTGTTAATTTTTTTAGGCTCAAACTAGCCGCCAAAAAACCAACAAAATCATTGAATCGTGAATTGTTCTACAAACATACTCAAATAATAAGAGAAAAGGTGGCAAAATTATTTTTATTATTAACAGACATTTAATTTATTGATAAAATACGCTAAGCTTTTAGTTTCAATATCCAAAATTGAATTTTGACAATTCTAAATATGAAAAAATATTATTTTTATTTATTTTTAATTAAAACAAAATAAAAGTAAGGATAATATATGGTTGATAACTTAAACTGTCTCTGACGAGTTCCGATCTGATCTAATCTTATAAGGTTCATTTTTTTTTTTTGAAAAATCAGATTTCATGTCAAATAATATTAAAAAAAGTCAGATTCGGATTTTAGTCAAACTCGATCTTATATTATATAAAAATTATTTATATTTAAAAAATAATATTTTATAAATTTTAAATTGAATTGAGTAGAATACGATTTATATAATATCAGATCGAATTGAATTTTTATATAAAATTTTTTTTTAATTAAATTTAAATTTTATGAATATAAAATTAGATCAAATTCAAGACGAATAAAAATTCATTTCAATTTGATCCATTGTTAATCCTAAATATATATATATATATATAATAAATAAATATAAGAACGAAGCATAGTTTTGCTTTAAACATTTTCCCCGATCCGTAATATTTTTGTTTCGGGCTATCCCTTCAATAATTCAGAAATTAGATAATAACGTACATAGTACATGGTACTATAATTCCACTTTAGTCATTTACACTAAATTTAAGCTTCTTAAATAACTTACAATGTGGGACAAATTAAGGTACGTACTACATTATTTTTTAAAGGCAGTAGCACATCATCTAATTCATAAAATCTAATGATGAGGGATTGTGACGAAATTAACAGGCGTGGCGCCGGAGCACTAAACACAATTATGACACAAATTACTAATTCATTATATGTAATCGCTATGCATTAGCAAGATTGGCTAATTAATGTAATGACTAATGATCCTTTTTGGCAGCTTACTGAGCTTCGTTTATCGGTTTGCGTCACATAATTTCCTTTTTCCTCTTCTTTTTAGATAAAACGAATTTAAAATTTAATTTAATTAATTTATATAATCACTTAAAAAAATAATATCTTATAATTTGAAAATGAAATTTCAGTATTTATAATTATTTTTTATTTTTGAATTACGATCTGATTTATATAAAAATTTTTTTGTTTCTCTGATAAATATTTATATAGTTGGCATAGTAACCAAGAACCGGGCCTTGTGGACCTCATAGAACGGGGGCCATGATCTTATGTAAAAATGGCCGTTAATCGCAAAATTTGCTGGTTGCTTTCGATCTCTTTTAAACGAAAATGGGATTACAGTCTGTAACCAAGAAAATGCAAGAACTAATGGAGGACAAAAGAAATTATTGAAAATGATGCATGGTAGCATGCTTTAAACTCTAACTAGATGAAAAAGTATCGGCCGGGAATTGCAAGTGGCCAAAATTTTTATCCTTTGACGAGTCCCTGTACTTGGAGGGATTTGTTTCTATTTGTTTTATTTTTATTTTTATTTTTTGGTGAAAGGAAAAGAGAAGCCTTTAATATTTGTTGTCGACGTCACTGGCTATTGGCAGACCATGTTGCCCATTCAACTTCCCTCCCTAGTTTTCCTTCCATACAATTCGCCTTTCTCTTTGTTTTGACCCATTTTTGTTGGCAAAAGCATGATTCCTACTTTTTGTATCACATTACTTGCTTATTACCTTATCATTTATTTTTATTGTTTGGAGAAAAATATCAGAAATCATATCTATATTATGTAACATTTTCAAGAATAATTCTTAGAATTCAAACCGTCCATGATACAAAATATAGGTTTGTGTTTTTTTTTTTTAAATATAAAAAAATTTATAAGTATTGAGATTTAAATATAAAAATAATGAATTTTATTTCTTAAAAATGATTGTATAAGTGAATTAAGACTCAAATTCAAATATACGTTTGTATTTAATTTAATATTCGATAGGATACATTTTTAAAAGAAAATATCGACTTCAAATTCATATCCCGTAATTAAATATTATTTCATCAATAAGAACTAGTCAAAGCGTTATAATTATATGAACACTTTGTACGCAGGAATCCTAGAAACCAATAAGATAGCCAAGAAATTCAAATCAAGCCAAAGCAAGAAACACGATATGAAACTGGGTAAGGATGATGACAATGCTGATATAAGGACCGCCAACACAACATTTGGTTACACCTTGGATTAATGCATACAAAAATAAGTGGCATATATAGTGGAAGTGCCACTTAGCCTAGTTCTCATCGGAAATGTAAGGAATTAATCATTCCCCCACGAGACAGAGAGAGAAATTAAGTGATGAAGAAAAAAAGAGTGAAGCAACAACAAACTTTCAAGTTAACGTGGGAAAGTTAGTTTGAGAGGAGAGGTCACAAAAATGACAAGGAATGGTAGATGAATATCATTATCATTAATCACTTCTCTGATTCTTCGTTGACACCCCACATGAAAGCTAAAACCAAGTTGGGATTTATTTATTTTATTTGTGGTAATGACGTCCAAATTTCATCTGATGTTTCATTGGTTGCCCCTTGATGACCACGTCATTCTTTTGAACATTTTTTAATCATATATTCGAGTTGATTTATTATTAGTTTAGTATTTTAAAATTGAATAGGCAATATCTCTATATAAACACGAAACACTGACCCCCCATTCACTAGGAAACATCTGCCAACTTTTGATAGGGAGTTATTTTGGGAACTTCTCATCAATACAAGCTCTAGCTTGGACATTGAGAGTTGAGAGAGACAAGTTGCAAAAGGATAGATCACAGCAAAGAATGGGCAGGAAACCTTGTTGTTCAAAAGAGGAGGGACTGAATAGAGGAGCTTGGACAGCCATTGAAGACAAAATCCTCATTGATTTCATCAAGGCTCATGGTGAAGGAAAATGGCGAAGCATTCCTAAAGCAGCTGGTAAGTACTGGGATTGTAGAGATAGATATGAGGTCTGACTGAAGAAGCAATACATTAATTGTTAATGGCATTTGCCTGCAGGTTTAAAGAGATGTGGGAAGAGTTGCAGACTTCGTTGGCTGAACTATTTGAGACCTGATATCAAGAGAGGCAACATTACACGAGATGAAGAAGATCTCATCATCAGACTCCACAAACTGTTGGGCAACAGGTAATTCTTTCTCTATGTCCATTTAGGGAACATATATCAACAGAAATCAAAATTTAAACCTAAGGTTTAATTTGCTCACTTTTATTTGCTTCCAATATTTGAACTTCATTTGCAGATGGTCCCTGATAGCGGGGAGACTTCCAGGGCGAACAGACAATGAAATCAAGAATTATTGGAACACAGTTTTATCGAAGAGGGCGCAAGTGAAAGAATTCAATCATATTAATAAAAATGAAGAGAAACAAAGAATCATCAACTGTTCCAGAAAGGCCCCAACAGGTTCAGGTGTTATCCATGCTAAGGCAGAACGTTGCACCGAGGTCTTCATAAGCCCAAAACAGCAAATAATGATTGGAAAAGATGACAATGATATTGTCCATACAGTTCCATCCACTGATGCCAAGTTGGTGCATGAAACTGCTGTTGAATCCGAATCCAGGGATGGGTCATTTACATTGCTTTCATCCAAGGAAGAAAATCCTTCATCAAAGTTTAGTATGGATTTTGGCATAGGAGAAATCAGCATTTCAGAAGCTCTTGCTTCTGATGACCTTACACAGCTTAGTGACTTTGATCTTTGTGATATGAACAGTACTGTGATTTATGAATATGGGACAAACGATTGTGGTCAAGCACTTTTGCCACCGCAGCTAATGGTGGAAAATTGGAGCGGCAATGATTGTGTAGAACTTGAAGCAAACTTGGATTCAGATTTTGGATTTTTGGCTGCTTTTCTTGAGTCCACTGAAGACTTGACATTCTGAGCATTGTTATCAATTCAAATTGGATTTGTGTTTCTGTTAGATATTACAATTGTCTACGACATGTTTGTCTATTTTTGTACAATTCAATGTTTTGTGAAGTTCCTGCTGTCATGGAATTCTACAAAATGTAGAAATAAGTTTGTCTTTTGGCAAAGAATAAATAATGAAAATTTAGCCAAAAAAAAAGGAACAAAAAAAAGATTATGGCAAAAAACGTTCAGCTAATAAAACAACCGAGAGGAGAGCCCAATTTACTTTTGTTTGTATAAGTTGACAGTGTTTAGTTTAATTGAGTTCTTCAACAGTTGGTTGTGCCTGATCAATGACGATATTATGTCTTATTTTCATTTCTAAGCGGCGGAATTGGAGTTGTACTCAAAGGAAGAAGAAAAAAAGGTTCGAAATAGATAGGTGTGACAATGTGTGTACATGTATGATGTAAATATTGACAATTTGTTTATTTACGTCTATTTTATATGAAAATTATATGTAACAATTCGTATAAATATAAAATACAAAATATTTTTTTATTTATTAAACTCATATATAAATTTTTATTAAGATTTTGAATCACTGTCACTTTCATGTTTTACTTTAGTATTGTTTTCGTATAGCATTTATATTGTCATGTTTAAAAATAGGGTAGCAGAAGGTTCTCACTTCTCCCACCTAGATCAGGAAAGGATGGGAAATAGGGGAAAGATGGTGCAAATTCTAAGGTTATCAGGTTTTAGCAAATTGGGTCCTTTGTATCCCTTTTACTCAGTAATAAGTCCATGCATCTAATGTTGAAAAAACTAGATTTATATTACCTTAATCCTAACAAAAAAAAAAAAAGGAAATATTGGGTCGTATGATAATGCTGCTATTGGCACAAGTCACACAATCGTCAATGGAGATTTAACTTGCCTTCTGACTATTTTGCATAACATTCTTTCAACCGTAGATGAACATTTACGAAAGCCATCATTTAGGCTCAATTTGAGAGCGTGACGGTAGTCCTCCTACCGCTTTGGAGTCCAGGCATACAATGCAGATTTCTGTATGGTGAGAGGACACGCTACCAAATGGAGCCTTAGACTCTCATTACAAGTAAACCTGAGCAGGCCAGGGATTTTCCCAAAACTTTTTTTTTTCTAATCCAATAAACATTTGGACTACAGGTACGTAACATTCATTTTTGAAGGAATATTAAAGCAACTAGCCTGAAGAACTGGCGAACTGGCCACTGCCATGAACTAGAAACAAAAACTTGGGTTATTTTTTCAATTTTCGTATGTGTTTTCAGGATCCGGAGTTAAAAAGCGGGAGCTGCTGCTGTTATAACCAGAATGAAACAGGAACAGCCGTTAGAATAATATTTTGGCCCTAGCAACTTGGGCTTGACTCAAGTGGAAGATTAAGGCAAAGAAAGGCAAAGAATCGAGTAAAGACTGTAAGTTCAAGCAAGCCCTATAATCTCCTTGTCATATGAAAAATTAACCCACGTATCAAAAAATAAATCAATCATCCTAATACACTTAACCTACATTCTGTATCTACCAACTCTATGTAATTTGTAGGAGCAAGTACTAAATGGTAGACAATATTAATGTTGAAATATAGAGGCAAGGCAAGAGTTAAATATCAAAAGGATGGTTTTGGACCAAAAAAATAAAAAAAGATGGAGGGGATATGGAACCCAGTAAAAAAACAAAACAAAACAAAATGCGAAACAAAAAAATTCATAATCACTTTGAAAGAAGAAATGAGAAGACAAGGCCACCCACCATATATCAGAAAATTATCATACCAGTGTTACTGCAAAATCTGTCGTAAACTATTATTTTGTAGCAAAAACACCTCTTGGGCTCACAAAACCAGCAGAAGCTCAAAGTCTTGAAATGAAAGCCACTGATCCGAACCGACAATGTGTCAGATTAATTTTAACAAGTTACAAGAAATTGGAGAAAGTGAAGATGAAGGATCAAGTCCGATGAAGAAAGAACCTTCTGAACCTCTGAGGTTACCTCTTTTGGGGGTTTCTCAGAATGAAGGTTGGCAAGAATACCTTTCCTAACATAATAATCAATAACCTGCGTGTCAAACAATTGGAATTTGTATATAAGATCATCATCAGAAAGGGAGGACGAAAAAATCTAAAATACAACCCTAAAAAAAGGGCACAAAACCTGAAATTGAATAAAGGGAGCTCAAATGCCATCTAAAATCAGCGGTTTAAAATATCATGATGCTTTATAAGCTCAAGTTTTGACTGTTTTCTCACAAATATAAAAAAGATAGAAGCTCTAATGTTTAATGCTGTTACTAATTCCCTATAATGGGACCCAAAAAAAACTAGAGATGATGGAAGAGATCAGAGTTGGACAAAGTACATAAAATACCATCTAAAATCAGTGACTTAAAAAAATATATTGATGCTGTATAACCTCAAGTCTTGAAAAAAGTTTGTTGCAGATAAAACAGAAGATAGAATCCAATATTAGAATGCAGTATGCAGGTAAATTATGAAAACTCTAGTAACTATACCTGGGGGAGGAACAAATGGACATACAACAAAAAAATTGGTGAGCCAAAGAAAAGGTGAAACTGCAATGACCAAAGAGGCAATGAACTCTATTATTATTCCACAAAGGAAAAGAGCATACCGGTCAGTCTGCCTACGAAAAGCCACCAGCCTTGACTTGATAACTTCCGGGGTCTCATCTTTTCTTTGAGTCAAAGGCTCTCCAGTGACCTTCAGTGAGCAGTAAGAACAAGATGAGATGAAGGGTGCTAGCAACCAGAAGCCGTGACTAGCAGTAGATATACGAGACAAAGTTCCGACAAATATAGTGATCAAATATATTTGTGCACAGATCCACTTCAAGTTTTAAAGTGCACAGATCTCTCCCAATGATTCCTTTAGATCCACTAGGGTAAAGGAACAGGCAGAGGCATTAGAAGTCCCAAATTCACATCCCCCACCCCATTAATAGAGAGTGCATCATCATATCTCAAAAAAACAACCATACAATCTGCATATTCATCTTACATATGGAATGAAAATTCTCATAATTTTGTAAAGAAATTATTTAAGCAATTGATCACAGGACCTTAACCTAGTAAGAAAGCAATATTGATTAAGGTAAATCCTAATTAAACAAAACTTAAGCAAGAATTTTAAGTGTATTCAACAGAATGCATTTTATACTTTTTTTTTCTTTTTAATGAACTTAAAATTGTTTGCAAAGACAGGCAAAGTATAAGGACATCAATGAATATCACAGTGAGTTGAACAATCAGTCCAGGATAATCATTTTATGATAGAAAAGATGAACCAAAAGGTTATAAAAGTAACACCTACATCATCAATGCCAGCAACTTTGGGAGGTGCATATTTAGTGTGGTAGGTTTGACCACTGGAATGATGTATCCATTGACCGATGATCCTCTCATCCAATATGGCATCAATTGCAAAGTTCAAAACCTTTCAAATATAGTTCCCTGCCTTTGAAGTACCTCATCAAGCTATAAAAAAGATAACAAACATGGTTAGAGACTGACAGAGTATTAAAGCCAGAACAAAATTAAAAGAAAAAAAAAAAGGAAGAGATGGAAAGGGATATTATTATGTGACCTAAAAAGCAACAGCACCTTCTGTGCCTGGACCACAGTCCTTGGAAAACCATCTAAAATAACCTTTTTGGCATGAGGGTTTCTTCATCGCTTCATCAATTATCCCAACCACCAAATCATCAGATACAAGTTCCCCCTACATGAAAAAAAATGTACTAATATTACAATCTGCAATGAGATGAAAAGACAACATGTCATAAGCCTATAGGAATTAGACAATGAGGAAAAAGGATTCACTTTATCCATAGCTTCTTTGGCCTTAATTCCAAGAGGTGTTTTGACAGCAACTGCAGCTCTGAGCATATCACCTGTGGCTAAATGGCAGAAGCAGTAGTCATCCTTAATTATAGCCGATTGTGTACTTTTGCCTGATCCAGGGGCCACCTGCAGTTCAATAAATTTGTCAGTTCAATCACCCAAAATACCTCACTCTTCCAAAAAAAGAAAAGGAGATCACTGATGTTTGCATATCATTTGGTATTTTGGTTTCATAGAAATCTAATTGTGGTTTGAGGGTAAACTCCAGTCACATTAAAAATTAACTAATTGGTGTTAAGCTATAAAAGTGGGAACTTTGCAATTTGTAAACTTCAAAGCCTCATACAAATTGAACACAAAAAAAGGTTTGAACTTTGAACTACTGTAACTAAAGCCAAATCCAAAGGAAAGAATAAAAGGGTCCAATAATCATCAATGGAACCACAGAGCAAGTTCAGCTAAATGTCCCTAGCACCCCAGAACAAAGTTCTATACACAATTTTTCTACGAGTCCCATCACAAAAAAATTAAACCTTCAAAACAATAAGACGAAACTGTCTTTATATAAAAATAATAATAATAATAACACAAGAAAACAAAACAAACCCAAGAAAAGAACCAATGAGAATGAGGCATTTGTCAGGCTTGGAGGAGCACTTGAAGCAACGAAGCAGTTCAGTCATGATATCAACAGAAGGAATATGTTCAAAGCGACTGCTGAACTAGCCATTTTTTTTCTCAAAAAAATGTTATTAAAGTAAGAAAAACCAAAAATCAAACTGAAATAGAATATGGAGAGAGATTTCAATGAAGAGGAGGGTAGGTGGAACGGTGGAAGGTGTTCTGTTTGTATCTTCAAATGTTGGGTAAGAGACGGTCTTCAAGTTAGAGAGGTTGGAGCTTTTTTGGTGCGTTGGGGTTGCTATTGTTGGTGTTGAATGTTGATGTTGTTGTCTTGTTGGGCGTTGGAATGGATCACTCTCTGTCTCTCCATCCAGGCTCCCAGTTCCCATTGTTTTCCATTTGTTCTGTTCTGCCCTCTTATCGTGCTTGGAATTGCTTCTATTGTCCTCTGCAGTCTGCCCCTTTTTTTGGGGACTTTGGAGTAAATTTATGACATTTTTCTTTTTGTTTCTTTTTTGAACGAG